GCAAGACCTAAAAAACTTTGAAGAGCCGACACATTTTTGGTTCTGGTATATGTTTTTATTGCCACTGCCCTATCTGGGTCGAGACGTCTTCCGTCTTTGTCAATTATTTGCCCCATGTACTTAATCCTCTCTAAGAAAAACTCAAACTTCCGTCTTTTAATTTGAATCTGTAATCCTGGATTCTCATGAACACCTGCCAAACGTGCGATTTGTGTTCCTCGATGCTCTCGCTTTTCATTAGGACGTCATCGAGATAAGCCACCGCAAAATCCAGACCATTTAACATCGTGTCCCCGACCTGTTGAAAAATGGAAGGGGGCGACCTTAACCCCTGAACGAAAGTCTTAAAATTTGTATAAACCCTTGTGGGTGTTTATGCAAAGGAGCTTCGAGCATTTCTCGTACACGGGTATTTGTTGATATGCGTCGCTTAAGTCAATCTTAGAAAAATATTTTCCTCCACTAAGCTTAGCGAATATCTCCTCTGGACTTAGAAGGGGATAATGGTGATCCTTTAGGGCGCTGTTCAGCCCCGTAAAGAAGTCAGCACATACACGAATTTCTTTGCTCTTTTTTTTTTTTTTTTAAATATAAACTGTGGGAGATGCCCATTCACTATATTAATCTTTGCCAGAACTCCCATTTCCTCAATTCGATTTAACTCCTCGTCAATTTGATTTAACGAGGCAAATGGAACGTTACGTTTTTTCTTAAAAACTGGGTTTACGTCTGGTTTTAACTCAAACTTAGCAGACATTTTTTGCATTTTCCTAGTCCTCCACTGAAAACTTCAGGGAATTTTTTTTTTTTTCACCTTTCAACTTTTCTGCTTCGTCAGTCAAATTTTCGACTTTTTGACATAATGTGTTAATAAGCATATCCCAAAGTTTAAACTGTTCTAACCAATCAGTCCCAAACAAATTACCTTCATAATATACGTCTTTAGTTTTAAAGTTTTACCTTTGAATGACACTTTCATTATAAGTTCACCCATAAACGTAATAGAGTTGCCAGTTATACTTTTAGCTATTTAGTTCGTTCTTTACAAAGTCGGCTTGCCCAGTTTTTTCCATGTTTGATAATTAGTTATGGATAAGTTTGAACCTGAAACAAGCTGTAGTCTTATATTTTTGTTAAATATTTGCACTTCAATATATTTCCTGATGTTACGACTTTCTGGTTCATCAGACTTGGTAATTTTTACAAAACTTTTTTTTTGTCTTCTTCTTAATCCTGCTGTGGGAACTTTTGTGTCCCAATTTATCGCAATTAAAACATTTTTTATCTTTACAAGGACAATCTCTATACCAATGTAATTGACCACACCCGAAACATGGTCTTGATGGCAAAGTAACTTTATTATTTTTTGGTTGACCCTTTTTAATTTTTCTTTGGCGTATTTTTTAATGTCAGCCACGCCACTCTGTTCGAAACGTTGGCAATCTTCGGCAATTTGTTGTAAAGTAACGTCGGGCTCGTTTTCAAGCTTGTTGAGTACCCTACGACATATTTCAGCGTCTTTCGCTGAAATCAAACCCTGGAAGAAAATCAGACATTTAAAATTATTGGCGCTTAACTCTGCCAATTTGAAATCATCCCAGTGTTTATTGACTACACCCACGAAAGTAGTATAATCTCCGTCTTCTTTGCTGGTGAGATTCATGCATTTCCAACGCTTTGTGGAACAGTGATGTTTTTGAACTGAAGAGTTCTGTTAATGATTGAACCGCCTTTTAAATTTCAAGTCGCTGGTTTTCTTAGGCAAAATATAGTTAACAAACTTAGTATATTCTGCTGTGCCTAATTTCTTGAGGAGTAGGCGAATCTTTTTATGGTCAGCCCAACTTGCACAATCCGTATTGTATAAGTCCTCGTAACGTTTAAAGTACGAAGCGAATGTAATTTCTTCTTCAGGTGCAAACGTGAAGTTTTCAATAGCATTCCATATCGCATTTTGAGAGAACACGTTTTCGCTGTCCTCATTTTGGCTTTTGATGGATATATTATACAAGTGCCTTTGCTCATTCTGTGTTTGAAGGAATATTTCTTCAAGTTTCTCTCGTCTAACCTGAATTTCTAGGTGTAATTCCTCAAATTTCTTTTAGTATTCTGCTTGTTCTCGTTGGAATTTTTCTTGTCTTTAAGGATGTTTCTGTCCCAACAGTAGCTGTGGTTCCTGTTGGTGTGTCATCAACTCTAGCACTGCACTTTTAAATTCGTCCATATTATTGCGCTGGTACGTAGAATTTTGGGGGAATTTTTTTTCTTTACCCTCTTAATCAACAATAAGTCCGTTTTGAAAAAATTTAAAAGCGGGAGAGAGGCTAAATTTTTTACTTTTACCCTATTAATGAAAAACAGTAAGTCTGTTTGACTTGTACAGTTTTTTACTGACTTGTTGGAATGGAACCTTCTCCCAACCATTGAATAGAACGTAGAAATCATCTTGTTTTGAAGAGTTTCTTTTTTCACTGTCAGTGTTGTAATTTTTTTTTTTCCTTGAGTTTGATTAAATTCCTTTTTAGACACTGGCAAAAGTTTTTTTGATGATTTAATAAGTCTGTTTTGAATTCTTTGTCGCCAAGATGTTGTTAAATGGTTTTGTTACAGATATATTATATATTAAACAGTAAGTACAACAGAAGAGTATTACACGACTAGTCAGTGTGTGTCGGTTGACACAGTGTTCAATCTATTCGACTGTTATATTTAACAGCTCCCCCACGAGGTATGTATGCGACACAAGGCCGGTTTATTGTGGGTATTCCGAGCCCGTAGGTTCGGCCAAAAATATTCCCTTTGAACCCGCCTAGACGGGTTCAGGAACTGTCTACCTCCCCGGACGAATCTTTGCCCTAATGTCGAGGCAGAGAGTTCGACAGATGAACAAACTGTGCGACTGTTCCACAAGGCCTTCTCACCTACTTATCTTATAGTAAGCGGAAGAGTCCAACATAGACTCTTTAGTTGATTTGTTAACACAATGTTTCTCTAAATGTTTTCTCATCTTCTCAGATGAAGTCTTTTCATTATTCCAAATTTTACTCCGTCTATTGCCTTCACATTTTTTGTTAAGAAAACATTTAGAGAAAGATTTTTTATTATGTATAAGATTTTCTATAAGGTGGAATCCCTACAAAAGATTAGAAAGAAATGTTTGTGGTAACGTTAATGTATAAGGTCAAATGCACCCGACAGAAAACACGAGTCGATTTTAAAGAGAAGTACGTTAAATAATCAATTTTCTTATGTCGTTGTTCTTGGCCAGAGTGACCTGGGTTCAAGTAGCAGCTAATGTCGACTCCTGGAACACGGAGTGACTGGCCTTCTCCTCTGTAACGAGATCTCCCCACAAGGCGGATGTGGCATAAGGCCGTTTTTATACGTGGGGCATTCCGAGCCCATAGGATCGGGCAAAAATCGGGTAGCTGTCTCCCTCCCCCAGACGAGACTCTGCCCTTCATCATAGCCTCGTCTGGGTTCCTCTCCGACCGGAGGCAGAGAGTCGACAAGCAGAGTTAACTGTAGTGTAATCGTCTCGTCTCCTCTCTTCGATTCAGTTAAGTTCTTTTATTTTATACACCAAAACTGGATCAAGATGGTTAATCGCAGATTTCGAGCGAAGCCCTCTGATTGGTGTGGAAATAAATCACACACCGCAATTTTCCAACAAATTGGAAGGAAGCAAAAATATTTTTTGAAAGTCAATACTTCCAGCTAGACCCTAAAAGAGTGTCTGATTTCTTTCAGAAATATACACATTACATGCTCAATCAGCTTAAATTACGTGTAAGTATTCTCAGATGATCACTTTTCGTTATTCCATTATTCGGACTATTGTCTTCATCTTTGTTGCTATTAACACAACGTTTCTCTAAATGTTTTCTCATCTTCTCAGATTAAATCATTTCATAATCATGTGGCACAAGGCCGGTTTAACGTGGGATCTCCGAGCCCATGGGCTAGGTCAAAAATATGCCCTTTGAACCCGTACAAACGGGTTCAGGGTTGGTTTACCTCCCCGAACAAGACTCCACCCCTCGGCGTAGCCTCGTTCGGGTTCCTCCCCGCCCGAAGGCAGAGAGTTCAACCGATCAGCCGGTCATCCGACTTCAGACTGAACAGTATTTAGTCACCCCCACGAGGGCATCATGTGGCACAAGGCCGGTTTAACGTGGGATCTCCGAGCCCGTGGGGTTGGTCAAAAATATGCCCTTTGAACCCGTATAAACGTGTTCAGGGTCGGTTTACCTCCCCGAAAGAGACTCCGCCCTTCGGCGTGGCCTCGTTCGAGTTCCTCCCCGTCCGAAGGCAGAGAGTTCAACCGGTCAGCCGGTCGTCCGACTTCGGACTGAACTCCCTGCTTCCTCTTGAGGAGCAGTATTTATTACGTATGGAATAGTCCATTATGTTATTATGGGTAAGGTCCCATAACAGCATACTAAAATAAAAAGATTTATAAATCTCCTGAAATGTATCACCTAATTATTTCTTAAGATCAGGTCAATCAGCTGTGTTTCTGAAACTAGAAACTTGGATAAGCAAAACATAAAATGCTCTACCAAAGCGAAGGACAATCCAACTTGTACTCACCGCTTTCCCCGATCACGAAAGAAGGCTTCGGGCTCAGTTCTAAAAAAAAAAAGAAAAAAAAAAAAAGAAAAAGAAAAAAAGACAAAAAAACATTTGTATATAGTGTAAAATTTCATCATGCGTGTTTTAATAGGACGTCCTTTAAGTAAGCTATTGCGGTTTATGTTGGGTGAATGGGGATGAATGAATTCTTGTGGTGTTTGAGTAAATTCTTTTAGCTTTGTTTAGGATAGTCAGTTATGACCAGCCTCACGCCACTTTCCTTTCGGTTTTGTGCCACACTTTTATTCTTTATACAATAATTATAAAGTTCTCTCCACCCTTTCACTGAAATGCAGGACTGACTGATCCACTCCTCTAACTGGCAAAGTACTAACCAGGATGACTGTCTACTATAAAATTGGAAGGTTTTCTCTCTCTCTCTCTCTCTCTCTCTCTCTCTCTCTATCTCTCTCTTCCAAAGTACAGCGAATTATTAACTATGTCTCACAAGAAGGAGACAGGTTTTTGTTTCTATACAAACCAACATTCTGCGACAACCGCAAAATGATCAGGAAAAAAGTTTAAAAAATAACCAGTTTTTGGTGTCCATAAGAAAATGCATCAACTGAACGCGTACGAAAAATCCAGTTACCTAACTTTAGTTTATTACAATCAAAATTTAACTTTGTAATTAATCCATTGCTCTCTAATCTGTATCGAATTAAGCTTTTTGAAGAAAAAGAATAAATTTCCTACCGTCCCTCTCTGTTTCGATTTTTACTCATATTCGGTAATTTACTCTTGCGTTATTTGGAACTAGCTGGGATACTCGGCGTTGCTCGGAAGATCTCTGATTAATAATTATTTTATTATTAACAATTTATTGATATTTTTCAGCAATCTTATGGAAAATAATTTTCTATTCAATATTTACAAAATAAACATTTTTTCTTTGTTACAAAATAAATAAATTTAGGAAAAATACCACACTACCAATACCACGCTCGGCGGTGAGAGTGGGGAGTGTCTTAGGGGGATGAGCATCCCTATTTTTATCCAAAAAGCCACTTTATTTTTCCATACTCTGTTAATGTTGTTTTCAAACAAATCAAACTTAGATAAAAGTTCATTAACCTTTTTACAAATTATTATTTATAAAAAAAGTAAATAAACTTAAATTCAGATAACATTTAATTTAATCATTTTTTCAAACGAAAACTATAGTGAGCTTTACTTCTTCGAAAAATACTTATTTACTATTTAGACTAGAGGGCAATTAAAATTTTTTTTAAGTAAATGAAGTTTTACTTTAAAAAATAATTACTAAATATTTTGAAAGAGAGTAGAAGCAAAATACATTGAGAAGTCTTTAAAAGCGTTTCTGTTTAAATTTCAAGTCATATTTGCATTTGAAAAGAAGAAAAAAACTTTAAATAAATATTAGGAGAAACGGACATGAGTTTTTTACGGTGAACATTAGTCTCCTTATTAAATATTTGTTTTACGTATTTAGATTTTATTTTTAAATTAGTTTTCGAAAAAATGAGGCTCGCTGTAGTTTTTGCTTTAATAAAACTTAATTGAAAATTATTTACTTGTTTAAGTTAGTTACAAACCCAAAAAACAAAGAAAAATATTAAGTCAATAATACACACACACACACACACAAACACGCACACACACCTGCCCTTTAAGGGTGATACAGAGTCTGTGTATTTATTTTGTAGCTGGACACACACACATACACATGCACACACTCGAATATTTGAATAAATAAATATTAAAGTAAACCTTTTGTCAAATATTTGTATTTAATATTTTTTTTTTCATTTTTTTTAAAAAGTTACACTTTTAGGTGTGAAAATAAATTCATGGCAATAGAAATTTTAAAATATGTACTTGGAACGTGTTTAGCAGAATAAAAAAGTAAAAACGAACGGTAATTATTAATCTGGAATAAAAATGAAAATCGTTTTTACTTTTTAATGGTGGGAATTCTAATGCATTTTAATTTGAAAATATCTTTGTAACTAAAAAATCATAAGATAATTTTTTTTTTTTTTTAGAAAAAGCTGACTTCGGTGACAATGAGTTTGTATATATATTTACTTTATCATAATATTATGTTTTTTTTTTTTAGTTTTAGCCAGACACAAAGACACACAGACAACTGCCCTAAGTTTTACTTCTGTCCTTTATACCGAGAGTTCGTATCAAATACAAAAACAATAGTTGACCACAAACACAAACATATATATTTAATATACAATAAATTTATAACCTCTTTGCATGTTAATGAACATTGAACACAGAAATAATAAACAGTTCGAACAATTGAAATATTGAAATTTGTACTGTAAAAATAAAAACAAAGGAAAAATGTTAACAATGATCAACTTTCTTTTTTTGACATAGCTAGCGATATATATATATATATATATATATATATATATATATATATATATATATATATATAATTAGAAAGGTAGTGTTTTTGTGTATGACACTATGTGCATAGAAATATCATATAACATACGGGTGTGTGCCTAACAGTCTGTGTAAAATAGTGTATACAGAAATAAAGTTTAACGTCAGGACATATATATATATGTGTGTGTGTGTATGTGCAAGTGACAATATACAAAAAATAACATCAGTCTATAAGAAAATTTGAGATTAAAGAAACAACTACCTGATTCCTTGGTTATAAATAAAATATAAATATAAGTAAGGGTGAGAGAGAGTGTGAGAGAGAGAGAGATATATATATATATATATATATATATATATATATATATATATATATATATACATAGAACTTCGTTAAACATGGTAGAATTCCCTTTTTTTTCCAAGATTGCGTAATTTTTTGACGGAAATCAAGAGAAATCTTATCGTTCATAATGAGCTAAAACCCTTTGAAAATTTCCGCAAGTACATCATCCAAGAATGGAGGAGATCAACTCCTTTTTTACTCTCTTTTCTTTTTGATTTTCCTTTTTCTTATCTCTCTCTTCTTTCTATCTCTCTCCTTCTCATTCTATGTCTTTTTTTTTTCTTTCCTCTTCTTGTCTCTGCCTCACACACACACACACACACACACACACACACTCTCTCTCTCTCTCTTTCTCTCTCTCTCTCTCTTTCTCTCTCTCTCGCCTTTATTTCGTCCAATTTCATAGACTCAGGCACACTTTGAAAGACTTAGTCCAATTTTCACTTTTTTCATTCCGGTTATTATGGTAGAAAGCGTTAATATCAGGTAAGGGAGGCAGGAAAGGATCGTCCGTAAGCGTTCTGATTTGGTTGGCGTGTAACGAAGCAGGATCTTCCAGATGATGATGTAGAGAGCTGCTGCTCCGAATATTATCTCGAAAGTGATTATTACACCGACTTTGGTCGACTCATGCCATTCATACACGTGGAACATGCAAAAGTCGATTGCCAATATAATGACGACGACAATGACCACAACGTAGGGTTTTTCAATTCCGTTGTACATGATTCGTTTGTGTATGACAGACGTCAAGTGTCCAGCGTGTACGGCGCATAGCAAAAATCTAGGAAGTGGATCCCTCTGAAAGCAGGTGTCCGGATTGACGACCACGAGGATCAGTGACAACAGTGAAAAGAAAAGTAGAAAATTCAGTATCGTTCGTATTTCTTCAAGTCTTGGAATGTTGTAGGGATTTCGGCAGTCTTCTTGTCCATCGATATTCTGGTATTCTCCTTGAGCAAAGTACCGCTGCCGGGTTTGTCTACTGACACGATGTTGGTTTGGAAGATCGAGCGTCTCCTCATGAAATTCACTGGGTTCGGCGATTAATAAGTCTTCTCTGCTAAAATCTTGAGGATAGACAATTCTCCGGAAATAATAGCTGGCTGTCTTGGCAATAGCAAAAAGGAGCACCAGACTGATTGGTAGCACTAGGTACCCGTAATCTCCTCTGTTCATATAGGCGTTATCAACCGAAAACATGTGCACTATACAAGGTAAGCGGTAAGCGAGATGAAAAATGACCAGGGTAACGCTCTCGATGTGTAGATTTGACATCATCTTTCTGCTAGGATTCCAGTTTCTGCGTAGATAAGGAAATATAATGAACCAGCAAAGATAGCCGGACACAATAAGAAAAGTCGTTGCTGAGCAATTCGTAATCGTTGGTGTCAGAGGTACTAAAGGTTTTGAAGTTGAAACGTTACTATGCCTGCTCGATGTTATATATGGGAAGGCAGTGGGTAAATTCATAGCAACAAGGTTTGGTTCCATAACTTTCTCAATATGAAGGTTTTCAATTCTTTTCACTCTACGCTCTCAAAAAATATGTTCCTGCTTTGGTACTTTAAAAAATTAATCAGTGCAAAGCCATTTCTTTCTTTGGAGATATTGGTTATTTTAAGAATGTTGCTGTTGCAGACACATATTACACTGGTACTTGTTAGACCAACTCTAACGTATACGCCTGTCCAAGAGAAAAGTTAATAGTTTTATTTTGGTGAACTTTGTATCTGGATTTATAAACTTGATTTCCATACCCCCGCCAGAAACTACACCTAACCCTGACCACCCCCGCGAGAAACAAACAAACAAAAAAAATCGCTTATGACCTTTGTCTTCTTTAAATCAACTATATTAGGTCAAGTGAAATCCCATCTCAAAATTATTTTTTAATTTGCTCAAAAAAGTAAATAAATAAAATAACGAAAATCAAGGAATAAAAAATAAACCAATTTATTGAAACTATAGCTTTACAAATTTCAATTTAATTAACTTATGCTGCTTCAGGCGTACTGACACGCCTTTACAAAATTTCCTTTGATTGCTGTTGACGTATATATACGTTTTGAAGTCACCTTGAAATATCGATCACGTGTAGTCATTTTTTCCGACCCTCCTAAGTATGGCAATAAACAACACCCAGCAGCAAAGCCTCTGATCGGGAGATTTTGAGGTGTGCATCCTAACACAGGGTGGTAACACCTGTTAGGGTCCCAGCTTTAGGCAAATAGTAAACTCCCAAAACAATAAAAGTATAAAATACATTTTCATAATAAAAATACCATTTCGTCACATATGTGTTATCATATTGTGCATTGCGGCAGAGTCACGTTTAGTTTAATCTGTACTGCGCAGTATCTTATTAAAACCAAAACAGCAACGCCCGTGAGAAATCACCGTCAGCGTTTTTATATTCATTTCTTTCCAGTAAATGGCATTTTCCTACTTTTTCAAGACGGGCCAGTACAGTAACAATGCAACACTGAAAGTGTTAAATGGCAACTTTTTAAAAATATATTTTATGAATTAGCAGGTTTAAAAAACCTGCTAATTTAATTGAAAACAAATTAAAAAAATTTAAATATTCGTTTTTTTTTTTTTAAATAGGACCTGATAATTGTAATCCCGAAGAAATAAAAACATTATTTAATTTTTTATCATCATCATTCTACCCACCTTTCATATGAAACAAATATAAAAAGAAGAGTTAAAATTAGGAAACCCCTGGTAAAGTTTTTTTATACTAGAGTTCACTTAATACAAGGCTCAAGAGCCACTCAATTGTGTAAAAGGAGAGAGAGAAGAAAGTGATGATGGGGAGGATAGGTAATAACTGGCCCTAAACTTGAAGAGATTAAGATTGTAGTGTTTGAGTAAGCATCCACCTGGGAGTCTATTTAACAAAGTAGCGCTTCTTGGGAGGAAGCTTTCTCAGTGAAACTTCTTTCTTAGCAATGAGGGTGATTCAACCTTGTGGCCACAGCAAGGTGGGCTTTGGCTGTAAAAATCTCAGCTGGTGGCACTAAAGAATCGAGCTCACCTGAACAATTTTTCTTTTTAATCATTTCACACCAAGCAAGGTTGGAATGACACTAGTACGTAGTGGGTTACAGGGAGTGACAGTGAGAGAGAAAAGACTCTATATAGGGGGGGATTGAGGAAAGGATAACAGATAAACGGGGTTCAAGATTTTGCCATTGGAATAGCGATAAGCTTGAGACGTTGTATCCGTGGGGAAAGCGGGGGTAGGATGGAAAATAAGTCACCCCCCCCACACACACATACACACAAGGCCGCATAAATGATTAGAATTATGTCAAGGCTGGAATGCGAAGATTTATCCTTTTATTTATTTAATTTATTTATTCTCCTGCTTTTATGCTGATAATCTTCTTTTTTCAATAAAATCGCAGTTGACTACATCAGGGGTCGGCAACCTATGTCACGCGTGCCAGACTTGGCACGCAAAGCAATTTCCAATATCACGCAGCCGTAAATGACATCACGAAGTCCGAACCAATAACTGCTACAACTAAAAGAAGTTACTTAACTGTTTGAATTTTAATATATACTAAATTATATATACTATATAAAATATATTGTAGAATAGTTATATTGACCTTGACATATGTAAAAATACGTATGCTGTTGGCACCCTGAATGATTCAGCGCCAAAAAACAAGTTATTGTTCATTCATTTAAAAATATTTTAATTATTATCATATTGCCGACAGCATACAGAAATAAAAAACCCTGAACTTTTCCTTTACAAATGCAATTCATTTTTTACATGCATTTTAATTTATTTAACATTATTGTCTTAATTTCTTAACCTTCGAAATCGAGGCCGCTGATTTCGTTGTTTAAGATAAATACATATTCACAAATCCAGGATATATTTAATTAAAATGTGATGAAATGTATGGCAAAGTGGGAAAAATTTGTCCTGTGATGCGTTTCGTTCTTTAGGACTTCATCGGATTAAATTTGTTATATTTGTGTTAAAGAGAAAACGCGTCACACGAAAACTTATGCCAACTTTGTCATATATATTTCTCAAAAATTGTTCTTGATATATAAAAAAAATATATATCATTATATCACACACACACACACACACACATATATATATATATGTGTGTGTGTGTGTGTGATGTAACGATATATATTTTGGAGGGAAAAATTACAGGTTATTAATATTGAACCTTAAAAATGATAAGTTAAAAATAAATGGGAGAAAAAAAATCTGTAATTTTAAGCGTCGAGATGGCCAGATATATTTTGATTGAAGCCATAAAAATAATCATTTGAATTCTGCATCTGAATATTGCATCGAAGATGGCGTCCTGCATATTAATATATGAAGAAATATAGTCTGAAGGTGTGCTATATTTATGGGATAAAGTTCTCAATATCAGAGATAGAGCGTGTGTAAATATAAAAGTGAACACAGAAGTCAACACTTAGAGGCGACAGTCTGTTTCATGCTAGATGCCATCGTATTTATTAATATGTATGTATATATATATATATACTCGACTCTCCCGTCGAATTCGACGTATGAGAGTCAAGCAGTTCAGTTCCCCGGAAACCGACAGCCAGACAACAGCACATGAGATTCGATTATAGTGGTGAAGGTTTCGTGCAGGACCATCCGCACTTTTTGAAGGGCCGAATACAGAGACCTGGTGCACTAAGTGCAGGTTTTGAATTCAGAGTTGTCCTTCTCCTAAACCAGTTGCCATCCGAGGCTATAGAACCCAGTCTGTCCTGCTATTTACCCATAGCTGGAGGGAGAAGAAGAGGATTCACACCTTTCCCAGTATTAGCACGTAAGTGAATGTTATGGATTCGACTGGAATTCGAACTCGGCTTTCCGATTTCTCAATCCAAGCCGCTATCCATTACTTTACCGTGCCCCCTCTCTCTCTTTCTCTATCACACACACACACACACACAACACACACACACACACACACACATATATATATATATATAGAGAGAGAGATAGACAGACAGACAGACAGACAGAGAGATGCCACATTTAGTTTAATGGCTGATAAAATAATAAAACTATTTTTAGTCTAAGATAACCAATAATAATGAATATTTATATGACGGACTGTTTATATTAACCGTGTCAGTGATAGTTATTAAGATTTTAATATAAATCAATATAACAAAACAATGGATATAAAAATAATGATAATTTTATATGAACAACTCAGACAAAACAATTGAAATACAAAAAAGGAAATTAAGTTGGTGTAATTTTAAAGTTGGTTGGTAAAGTTTTGTACGAAATGAATGATCTTTTCAGATGAGTTCAAATAATAGTGCGTATAAAGAGAGAGAGAGAGAGAGACAGAGAGAGGGAGAGGTAGATAGATAGATATAGATGGATAGTGGATTTCAATACACAATGTGAGGGAAGATTCCACTGAATTTTGTTTTGTTTTTGGTCAGTAGAAGTGCGATAGACGATTAAAGACTGATCCTTTAAAGTTGCCGATAACAGAAACAAATTCGAGTGAAAGCTAGCGCTTCTATCGAAGTTTCTGTTGCCAACCCGTGTTTATATTGTTTTCTAAATGCTCAAGATTTTGGGTTTTTCAGCGCCACAATAGAACAATTTAATTGTTTATTATTTTTTCTTTCTGTGTTATATTTGTCCGCAAAAAGAGGAATCAATGAAACTAATTCTGTAATTATCAAAATTAAAGTCACTAGCGTCATTTCTTCTCTATATGTGTGTGTGGCCGAAATACTTAGCAACACTTAAGTTTCTTTAATTTCTTTCCATCTTTGAAAGAATTTATACAAACAAATGCTGCTAGAAGTAACTTTTTGTTCACTATTCAATTCATGTTATAATCTACCTCGACAACAAAAAATAGTGGAACAGAATCATTATGCTTTTACAAAGCATTTCTATTTATGTTATTCATATTACTATTGATATATTCGAAAGAGATTCATACGAAATTTTGCTCGAATAAGCAAACAGATAAATAAATATAAACTCTGAAATCAGAGAGCGAATTCTGTCTTTTTCATTATTAGAGATTTCAGGTGCTTTATTCGTTTGTTTTATCAGGAGTGGCATTTCTCTGGATCATAGATAACAAACAAATCTCGTTATAAGTAAGTCTTTCAAGTGATATTTTTTTTCTTTTTACAAAACAGATTTTTTCATATATCCCTACATTGTTCTTTTCGGTCGTAAGGATGTCAGCTCAGATATGGTTTCCTGTACAAACACGGCACAGACACGAACAATGATGGTAGATATACAAAGACCAATTTATGTAATCCACTTCACTCAGTAAAAAAAGAAAGAGCATCTATTCAAACATGTGTATCACTAAAATAAACATCATATTTTGTAGCGGACCCCCGAGCGCCCCCGTATCACACAAGGGTGAATGAGGTCACAAGAAGCCCGCTAACATTTTCGAAGACGTTAAATCTGACGGTGAAACAATATAGAC